ACACGAGAAAAAAAAAAAAAAAAAAACACAGGAGGAGGGGAGCTGAGGAAGAAAATAAAGGAAACGGAAGCCAACCAAAAGAGTAATAGTAGCAGCAGTCTATCCAACAGCAGCACCAGCAGAGGGACCCTCCTCTGATCACCCCGTGTCCTCAGTGCGCTACAGCAGCAGCAGCGCTCTACGATCCTAGGCATAGTACAGGAGGACGATCGCACGGTGCTGACAACGATCGCTGCTGCATCTACTGGGACCATGGACTTGTCCCTGCCAATGTGTGCCACTTCTCCCGGGATTATCTCCATCACACCATGGATTTTTATCTTCACCACCTTCATGAAAATGTCTTTGGGATCCTCATTCTTGACAGGTATGGATCAACATGGAGAAAACTGAAACTAGATGGCATGCTAGTGCACACACAGGAAAGAAGATGTATATAGATGTATTTCTATATTATATAGTGAAAAAGCCAGCATAGTCTGTTTCATCTATTACAATGCAGCCCCTGCTATTATAGATCCCTATATGCACTTGGTGCACTATGAAGCACTTATCTATAAGTAGTTATTGAGTTTGAAATAAAGCTGCCATGTCTTCTTCTTGTGCTGGGCTCCCCCATAGATGATGTAAGAGTTAATTGCAGTGGAGATCGGAGTACTCTTGCAGTTATCTTGAGTTTGCACATTGCCCTATTCTGCAGGATGGCTTGCTTCAATCTGCCTGGATATTGGAAGCACTAAGCAGGTGTTTGACTAGTGCAATAATGTACAGCCAAGCGCTACCCCTCTCTCCGCTGCTCAGATTTACTCATCAGATTGCTTTTTATTGAATTGATGGGGGCTACCTTATACATAAAAGTAGTGGCACTGCTGCTGGATGTAATTACATGTTTGCAGCAGGCAGGTGAGGGCTCCCATCACTGGAAGGACATATTTTAGTGACACCTGGTACATTAAAACAGAAGAGCACAAAAATAACTTTAAACTTGAAGTCTATTAAAGGCAAGCAGTGTTCAGTTTCACAAAAAAAAAATAAAATGATTTCAAACCTAGATAAATACTAAGGTGATCATAGCGTAAGGGAGGAGGAATAGGGAGCATGTTAAGTGTACAACCTTTTGAAAAATGAGCTACTGATGGAGTGTAAATGGTGACAGATAACACAGGCTCATGTTAGGAGATCACCTTTGCCCGAAAGACCCTATCTCTTCCTATCTACATCAAATGTCTGTTTAAAGATATATGAGAGCAAACATGTAATAACTAGACAAGGTTCCCTTTATACTGTGTTTTTTAAATCATTGAAAGTTGCTGTAGATCAGTCAGCTTGGCACAGTGAGTTGTGGGCGCCTCTTGGGTTGCAAAGTGCTGAAAGCAATCTATAAAAATGATTACAGGATCTACTGCTCACTGGGTCATATATCAATGTCTAATGTTAAGTCCTAGCTCATTTTATTAAAAACTGGTTAAACTATATGAGTTTTGGAGAAGGAGTGTTAAAGTGGAGGCTGATTCACTGTTGTAGAATTCTAGACTGTTAACTCTGTCTTCAGGTTTCACATAAACAATCACATGTGCTGTAAAACCTGAGCTTTGTACATATAAAGTGTCATCCTGGTCTGTCTGGTGAGAGATCCCGATTGCCATCCCTGATGTCCCCCATGCTAGGCTAAAATCTCAGTTTTCCAGGGATTGTAGGGTCCGTCAGTGTAGTCTTGTAGTAATGCCTATCATTTTGGTTTCTTCTGCAAGGCACTGTGGCCAATTGTGAAAACGAAGGAGAAGCTCTTCAAATTCCATTCATCACTGACAATCCATGTATTTCTTGTGTGTGTCTGGTAAGTGCCAGACTATTATTTGCTGGTGGTGGTCTCAGAAGGTTTAAATGTTCTGTTTAATAAGTGTAACAGGCACGTTTCTCTATATACCATCTGGTGGCTTACATTCTTTTTATAATTGCAAAAGTATGTTTTATGTACGTGCCATCATGTGTCCTGGGAAAACATTGTGCTGTTTTTGTTGTTGTTGTTATTTTTATTATCATTATTATTTTGTGATAGTTACTATGGATGCTATTATTAATGTTATTATTATTACTAGTCCTCTGGGGTCTGTTTATCACAAATATTTTACTTCTGTTTATTAAATGGTAAGCCACATTTCACAAAGATGTTAACAAAAAAAGTGTATTTTTATATTATTATTATTATCATTAGGTGTTTTTATACAGTTATTGATAATAATAATAACAATAATACTACTACTAATGATAATAGTATTTTTATATACTTTTTTCTACTACTATTATTATTATTAATAATAATACGTATTATTATTATTATAATAATAACTCTCTGGGGTTTATTTATCAAAAATATTAGGCATCCATTTTATCAAAGTGTAAACTACATTTAAAAAAAAAAAATAATAATAATTTGAATGTATATTTTAATAGTTCTGTTCCAATTTAATATCTATAAGACAATTGTATGCCTTCGCACTTTGTAATGTTCCTAGGTTTTTGTTCTTTAATTACATATAAATGGTTTCATTCTGACCTGCAATTTATGGGGGATCCAGGGCTGTGATGTAGGAAGTTGTTGAGAATTTTGGTACAAATATACTTCTTTAGCCCTAATGTAAATCATATATGTCTATTTGATGAGCTCAGTCATGACAGTACTAGCCTGTGATAAAGATCAGAGATTACAATCTGGAGATTGGTGTAAATAAAGTTTTTGTAGCACAATATACCTTTAAGCTGTTTGCTTTGCTGGGTCTCTATATAAGCTGCATCCGTAGCAGTGATAGGATGATTTCAATACACTGATTCTTTTCAGGAAGAACGTCTCCACAGGTCGTAGGACAAGTCTGTTCCACAGAAGACCGATATAAAAAACAAAATTTCAAGATCTTAAAATAATTGTTTATCTAGGGAGTTTTTTTTTTAAATTTTTACTTGAGAAGGAATTCCATTTCAGGACTATATAATGATGGGTTTAATGACTTGATTTTATTTTGTGTTAGAGGGTACCCACAGTTATAAATCCAGAGTAAAAAATGCTAAAATAGACATTAACAAAAGCCTCAGAGGACAGAGGCAACCCTTGTGACGAAGGTCTTCAGTTAAGAATTTTTTAGCAGCAAATTACTGGTATATTATACTGGACGTGTGAAATAATTAATTCCCAAACCTCTCAAGAAGCGATCATTTACTAATCCTGAATAATACAGCAACGTTGAGATTGAATGCAATAGAGACGCTGACATTGCTGTGAGATAGTTATTAAATACTTTATATAAAATGTATGCATCCTTGCTAATATTGTATTTGTATGACCAATGAATCAACTTATTTTTAACTAATAAAAGGTGTTATATAAGTCATCAGAAATAGGTACAGCAGTAAACTATGCGGAGTCAAGTTCTCTGGCTGGTTTCAGCACCCTGTCTGCTATGACAATGGCCACTGTCTCCACGAAATAGCTCTGCTGTGATAAAAGATGAAGAGAGGAAGTTTAACGACATGCAAGCGGCTGACTGTATTGATTGCTATGGGCAGTCATGTGACTTGGATTTAATCAGCTGATGCTGAGACAGCACAGGCGGTGCAGCTTCATCACAAAATAGACTTACGTATTGGTGACTCTGGAAATTCATAAGACACTTGTAATCAGATGAGAGTTTTATGTGATGTATAATAAGGGAACAGTATTAAAATAACATCAAATATGCTGACGGAGGGTACTTGTTAAACTAAAGCTTTTACAGTTGTCACAGAGGGTACTGTTATAGAAAAAAAAGATGTTGGAAGATAGGGTGAAGAAAAGCTTACTGAGCAGAACTATACATTGTTTGCATTTTTGTCTAGGCTGTCATAGCACAGATAGGAGCAGTGTGCCTTCACAATGAGAGTATATAATAAATGGTTTGCATGCATTGCAGGACATTGCGCCTTTTCCCGAGTATGTATTTTGCCAGATTACACGGTGCGCTATGCACTTTCTATAGAGCTAAGCTTGCAGAAATTACAGACTTTATTGCCTAAGCTTGTATTACGGTAATAGTGGTTCCTGGCAACTGAAGTTGGGACTACTGACATAGGTCTCTGCATGCTGAAAATACCGAATGTAAATAAAACTGTGCTAGTAAGGTAACATTTGTACTTGTTAAAACTATAATTCTGCCAATTCCTAAAGGGAACATACTGTTCAGCAATGAGGAACCTCAAGACACATTGCTGGTGATCTTATCACACATTAGGCTCAAGTCACAAAAAAGTCACAAAAACTCCCCTTGCGGTGCGCTGCCGCTGCACTGCAAGGGTTTAATGCCTGTTTAGGTCTAGGGTACTTGGAAAAAGGACTTTAACTTATTTGAGCCCTCTCCTGCAGGCTACAAGACTGGTACCTGCAGCCTCCCCCCTACTGATTATGTCCGCTGACATAATCAAGTACAGTGCAGAGCCCATAGCCCTGCATTATACATGACAACTTAGAGGGACAATCCAGAGCATAGGGGAGATGAGGTGAGCACTTTTCACATATACCCAAGACTAGGGTATTGACAAAATAATATGAAATTCAGTAGCCAGTCTGTCCATTCCAAGAGCCAGCGGCATTTCTTTTAGGAGCCAGCTCCATTGACAACAACTAGAGGAAACCTCAAAAGTTAGGAGCCAGCTGTGATTTTTAAGGCGCATTGGCTACCTGGCTCCTGGGATTTGTCCAGCCCTCCCATACCCCTAAATGAGCATTTAACCCTTGCAACTCAGATGCAGCCCCACTGCAAGGGAAGTTTTGTGATTTCCCCAGAGATAGGCTTTAACACAAGACAGGACAAGGGTCTTTATTTTAAGCCATGTAACTGTAATTTTCAAATCTCATTGGACTGCATTAACTAGCATTTTTACAAGGAGAGGTCAGCAATGGCAAGCTGCATGTTTTAAACTAAAGTGAAAAAGCTCTTATTTTATTCTTTCCACATATAACTTCATGTGATTGTCAGTTTGAAGAGAATGCAAGTTAACTTCCGCTCACTTTCCACCTTAATACATCTGGCCCGGGATCACTTTACTTGACTATACTTGACTGTATTTCACACTTGAGTAAATCAGGCCCACCTGTCTATTTTGTTCAAGATTCTGATTGCTCTCCAAGAACACAAATGTAAGTTTATGTACATTATTATTAGCTTTGCACTGTACTGTTAAAGATGATATCCAGGAACAAAATATTTCAATAAATACTTCCTCAATAGCTAGACAGTATAAGAATCCTGTTTGTGTGCACCAAATGCCTTTATAAAACTCAGGTAGCGCCTTATAAATGTAGGAGCGACATTATCACTGTGCTGTACATAGCATGTGCAGAGAGCAGAGTTGTGGGAGGGACCCATCATGCCTCACCCACTAGAGGTTATCTGCAGAAAACTACAGAAAGGGGCAGATACAAGACCAGTCATCCTGCACCAGGAGAGAGAGCATAAGTGACTGGTCTTTATTACAGGAAGCTCTTCTGCAGAGGTAAAGTTTCACATTGGATTACTGCACAGATCTGGAGAAAATACAGAAAGCACAGCAAGAAATGCAATGAGCATATACATGGCTCTTGTAATTAGACAATATTTGCTTAACCCTAGATTTTAGGTTTAAACAAGCTCAGAATGCTAGTTGGTAAAGCCAGTTGATGAGAAATCACAGCATTCATCCTATGAGATTTACAGGGCCATTCACAAAAGGGTGAAGGGTTTGGGGAAGGCAGAAGAAGTGAACAATTTAGGACAACATAGTTGAACTGGAAAGTGAGTTGAATTGGAGAATTTTTCCAAATCAGCTATTTTGGCTTAGATTGTTCATTTCTCCTGCCTTCTCCAAACTCTTCACCCTTTAGTGAATAACCCTGACAATGTTTTAATAATTAGAACCTGAAGTGCAATCTGAGAAGACCCTAATGGCTAACTCCACAGAGTATTAAGAATCAAATAAAAATACATTGCCTAGCAAATTATTTATTTACATTTGTCCCCAAGCACTTGCAGTCATCATTATTGTCAACAGATCCAACTCTCTCAGCACCACTTCCCTGAACTTCCTGTCCAGTACAAGATCACAAGAGATAGAACATTCTCCAACAGATGTCCACCTACTAGCTGGGAGAAGGAAGCAGGGATGAGGAGCAGTGGAGCGTTTTGCCTTGCTTTGCCTGTGTGCTTGCGGAGACACACACAGCTTGCTAGCACATACACGGGTTGCTTCATAGGACCCTGCAAGAGAAAAGAGCCACCCTCAAACAGGATATTGGGGCCAGTGCTCAGGAGACCAGCTGATTCTGCAGGAAGCTAAAACTTTTAAACAGCAAGGAGCAGAATCCATTGTAAGTGATTTATTCAGCATTAGAAATAGGTTAAAACTCTTTTGTCTTTAATATCACTTACATTTTCCATCAATATTGAAGCATCAATATTGTATAGATCTGTGGGCCCTGAGCACTGATTTGTTGCTGGACACTGGAGAAAATTAATTAGCATGGTTGTGCCTTGAGAGTATTGGGCAGCATGGGACCAGGCATCTGACACACAAAAAAGTGTGTCAAATGGACAGAGACAAGACTCTGATAGCCACAGGCATGATTTTCACAGGCAGATGCATGATGGCATTTGTAGTTTCATCACAACTGGAGTGCCAAAGTTTGGCTACCTCTGGTATAAACCCTCTTCTTTTGCAGGGCCTGCTTGAAGGTATGATTGAACCCATTGCATTTCAATCTGTATATTGAATGCTTTTTAATAAGCTAATAACTCCCAAAATGTTATTTTTTTATAAAAGCCTGGAGTTTGG